TTAGCCAGGATCAGAAACTCAAAAAACACATGTTTTCTCTCATATGTGGGAGATAGAGCCAAAGGTAAACATATACACAAAAACAAGCATGATCATGTACAAACTCAGATGTAGAACATGTTTGTAACTCTATGGAACTCGGGGAAAGAGGAAAGGAAAAGAGGATGACAGAGCATCAGTAACATCATATAACATAAAATGTGAAGGTAGAGGATATGAGGATGTGTTCTGAAAACTGTTGAAAAAACGGGGGGTGGGAGGTAAAGGGGTAAGGGAGAGTAATGGAAGGGATTGAATGGCCCAAATAAAGCACAGCCACAGTGGGCATACATTGAGACACACCTTTGAATTTCAACTTAAATATTAATAACGAAAACCAGGACTGTAAAATAGGCACAGCGTGTGCTGCAGGGTGTGTGTGTGTGGTGTACTAGGAGGGGGAGGGTGAAGGAAATTTAGGTGATGGTGTATGGTTGATGGACTTCACATACCTATATGGAACAGAACTAAAAAAATCTCTTGCAATTGCTTTGGGTGGGGTGGGGAGGGGGAGAGACAATGGGGGAAATGTAAATTATGTACAATATAAGTCTGATTGGAGTTGTCACTTCGAATCCTCCCTGAATAATGAATATATCCTAATTTTAAAAAACCCATTAGTTGGCTAGGGGTGTAGCTCAGTGGTAAAGCACTTGCCTAGTATGTGCAAGACCCTGGTTCAATCCCTGGCACCCAAACCAACCAACCAACCAAATAGTGAAACCATCCCTAAAAGCATGACCTGGGTTGGATGTTTTAGTCACAGTGATAAGGATAATCAAGCTCAGAAGCTTTTTTACACCTTTATCTAAGACTGAGCTGGAAGCTAGAACTAGTATGGAATAGCATGGAATCAGAAAGAACACTGTAGAAGATTCTAGAAAAATGTTAGTGGCAGAGCCTGACATTCAGAAGGGCAGAGGTGCTCCCAGTAGGACAAACAGTCAATGTTAGTAGCAGGTCATTCTTCTCTGAGTAGCACTTAAGGGCTGAGGAGGAGTGAGGAAGGGAAAGGATGACAGCACACACAGCAGGAGGCCTCTGGGTTGCCCTGTGTGATGCTCAGGAAAGGCAGGCTTCCTGGGGGAAGGGCAGCAGAAATGTGAGGTGCTGTCCAGCTCCAGGGGCCTCACTGCAGAGGGACTCATAGTCCAGAGAGGGCAAGGACGGAGGAAGGAGGAGAAGCAGGAAGGAAGGAGAAGAAGGCAGAGCAGGAAGAGGTAATGTACCCTACTAGGCTGACTGGGCCTCCTTACAGACACCTCCCTTTGGGGCAACTGAAGTCTGTAGACTCCAGATTCCAGCGAAGGGCAGAACCGAGAGAATTTGAACCCTTCTCAAAGGAGAAAATTTTCTTACAACCATCAAAAAGCTACATTTGTCTTTCTAACAGTCTAGAAAATACCTAGAAAAAGGAGGAGAGTGGGAGAGTCTGAAACAACAAGCCTGAGATAGTCAGTGGCACTGCAGATTTTGTTTTTTTTCAGCATTCTTGCAAACTGTTCTGAAAACTCTCAATTTGCCCCCAAAGACTTCCCTGTACTTAAGCAAGTAGTTAATGTTGCTTCTGAGTGATTCTTCTGTGGGCCAACAGACTTGATTCTAGGGCAAATATGGGTAACTGACATTTTCCTAGTTCCTGTTTTTCCTCCAAAGACCTTGTGTTCTGCTGTGATTAAAATGTCACTGTTAGGGCCTAAGCACAGTTGTACACCCTTGCAATCCCAGCACTTGGGAGGCTGAGGTAGGAGAATCACAAGTCACTATGTGCCATCAGTACTCGAGGTGTGGCTTAGGTGGTAGAGTGTCTGCTCTGTAAGCAGGAAGCCCCGAGTTCAATCTCACACACACACACACACACAAGTCAGTGAAAAAGCAATAACTTTGAATACTTTTCTAAAACACTTTCTAAAATGAGGCAGCTTTTTTTTTTGGGGGGGGTGGAGAATCTTCTTCATAGAATTAGAACTTTACATTGAGAAATAAAATGTATACAGAGCCATTTGGTGTTTTTACTTACAATCTTTCAGAAAATCAAAGGCATCAAACTCTAAAAGACTTTTAGGTCTGGATTCAGACCTAATCTGGGATGAACAGATCTGTAAGTTTACCTTTAGTAGAGAAGAAACTTGAACAGTCACTCTTTCCTTTTAGTACATAGTGAAGGATTCTGGTAAGATTGATGTAATTAGGGAAGATATTTGCAAGGAGGTTCTGGCTTTAGCTAAATGACTTCCTCAAAGTCAAAGTCAGAATCGAGCAAGGATTAGACATCCAAAACAACCATTTAACAATCTCAGGTCTTTTGTAGGTTTTATCAACATGAATTCAGAGTTCAGGTTTTTTTTTTTCCTTCCAGATTTCAGAAGAGTTCACTAGAAGCATGGGTTGATCTTGCCCTCTGTTCCTACAGATGGCCAGGTTGGGGAGTCCCCAGAAGTCATCACTGGGTACCACCTCCCTTAAGAGAGAATAACCCTTTGAGCTAAAAAGCCTCCAGACTTGAAGGACGATCCCCTTCAGTAAAGAAAAATTCCTTGGCTTGGGTGTTTAAATTCTCTGTATGTTTCTGGTGTACATGAAGAAAAAAAAAAAACCACACCCACCATCAGGAAAAAGACCGCTTAGCAATTCCCTATGTGAATTTGAGCTTGGCTTATTTTATATTGTAAGTTTTTTGGGAAGGTCCTTTCTGACATTTTTTGCTATGAAGTCTTGAATTTCTAACTTGCTTCTGAATTGGTGAATGAATGCCACACTTTCCCGACTTTCATTGCTTTCTCTGAAATGCACAGGAAATGTCTGTGTTTGGCAAGCTCTTCTTCCCCACCTTCTCTACACTTCTATCCCAAAAGTGTGCACTCAGCACATGAGTGCCTTTAATCATCTTTGCTCTCAGCTCTCTTAAGCACACTGCGGTCAGACATTTTATTAGGTTAAAGTGGTGCCATTTCCAATCAGCTGGCTTAAAAGAACTGTTTCTACCTACCATTTGTGAAATATTTTTCTTCTAAACTTCTATAATACCATTCTTATAAAAGCATGTCAAGTCTGAGAATCAAGTTTTCTTCATCTCAACTAATTTTTCAAATATAGAAGTATGAGAGGGCGTAGGAGAAAGAGCACCAGAAACCAGAGGTTTCTGAGTCTGAACTATACTTGAAATAATCAGATTAAAATTTGTTCATTTCTTTAGCATTTATATTGTGTTGAACACCTACCATTGTTCTAGACCCTGGTGAAACAGCAGCAAAGAAACAGACAAAATTCTTGGGAGTAGACTGATGATCAGCCAGATGGATAATTTACATAGAATATTAGTAAGTGATCTTTACTTGGAAGACAAATAAAGCAGAAATGGAGTATACAGTTTGAGTTATGTATCTAATATGTGTATAAGGGTAGATGCAGTTTTTATGAGTTGAAAATAAGGTGACCTTGGAACAAAGTCTTAGAAGAGGGCTATGTTGACATCTGGAGGAAGTCTTGTGCACAGGAAACAAACTGCAAGTGCAAAGGCTCCTAGGCTCAGTCACATCCAAGAGTGACTTTTTTTTTTTCCAGCTAGGAGATAAGCCTGGTTGGGTCAGAGGGCAGTGAGGTCAGAGGGTGAGGTGAGGGGCACACCTTTCAGATCCTTGTAGGAGAGTCTAGTTACTTTGGTTGTTACTATGGTTACTTAGGGAGCCAGGGAAGGGTTTCAAAGGAGTGAGTGACAGCCCGATTTCACAAGTTCACTGGAGAAGAGAAGGGTGTAAAAGTGACCAGCTGGAGACCACTGCATTTGTCCCAGAAATTAATCATACCAGAAATTAGTCAGAAATGCTCTATGTGTTTACAAAAAGTAAGCCAATATAATTATGGAATACATAAAAAAAGAGGCGGAAAGTGATTATTTTTTGAACGCTTAAGTTGTGATAAAAAAAAGACCAATTTGGCAAATACTCTGCTACCGCCTCTCTTCCAGATGTAATGGACTTGGTCAGAGTAAGAATAATAAGCTTGTTTCCCAAACTTGCCTGACTGACTCATAGAAATATAGATTCCGGACCCTTTCCATTCTATAAATGTGGATGGAGTCCAAGGGATCTATACAGTACTTTTAGCAGGACTCCTTTTGGAGTTTGCGGTCCATCTAGAAAGCATTGCAGGGCGTCTGCGAGGCCGGCAGGTGGCGCCACGTGATCGTGAGCCGCAGAAGGCGCGCGGCCCCCAGCGAGACTAGGCACCAAGGCAGTGGGGCTGCAGCGTTGCTGGGGCTACCCTGCTGCCGCTAATCCTCGAGGAGCCATGCGTATGAGCAGTGGGCAGGGCGCATGGCCAGTACTCCTTTTTAGGTTATGTGCACGCTACGCCGTCCTTAGTTGATTTCGGGGGTTTCCAAAGCAGGAGGACGCAGCTCTATTCTGCACCGGCATTGGGCACTGGGAACACCGAAAAGCGATGCAGCGAGAACCCCGGCTCGCGCCGCAGGGTGGTACTGCAACTCAGCCAAGCTAGGAGCCAGCATCCACTACCTAGTCCCCTTCGGGAACGCCGCACCCGCGGACCGCTCCTTTTCATTGGCAGCAGGGCAGAAGGCCCCGCCTCCTTGCCTACAGCGCTCATCTTTGACTGGCTCTTGGGTCCCGGCTGTCCACGCCTCCTCCCCTCGCACATACACAAGAGTCACGCGCCTTTCAGTTGGAAACTTGGCGTGCAGAGGAGGACAGTGGCCCCCATCTTCCCGCCCACTTATCTTGCCATTGGCTCGTGGCGCCGCGTACGACCACGCCCCCATTCCAGCCCCCTGGCTGGGGAGGCGGGCGTGCGCTCTTGATTGGCTGGCCGGCCTGCCTCTCGCGGGAGCAGCTGGCGCTCTCCTCCCTCCCCCTCCCTCCTCCCGCTAGCCTCGGGGTTCCTTAGCTGCCCCAGGCCCAGTCAGTGTCAGTCAGGGAGGTGGACTGCTGAGCACAGAGCACGGACGCTCCATTGCAGTCTTGTTCAGGGGCGGGTGCCTGCGCTCGCGCCGCCGGGTGGGAAGGATGAAGCCGCAGCTGGAGCAGCCACCCTATGATTGGCTGTGGAGCTTGTGAACCCGAAGTAAAGATGGCGGGCGGGCAGGCAGCCGCCGCACTGCCCACTTGGAAGATGGCGGCGCGCCGCAGCTTCAGCGCCCGCGGCCGGGGGGTCCTGCAGGCAGCGGCGGGCCGGCTGCTGCCGCTGCTACTGCTGAGCTGCTGCTGCGGCGCGGGCGGCTGCGCGGCGGCCGGCGAGAACGAGGAGACAGTGATCATCGGGTTGCGGCTAGAGGACACGAACGACGTGTCGTTCATGGAAGGGGGGGCGCTGCGGGTGAGCGAGCGGACCCGGGTCAAGCTGCGGGTATACGGGCAGAACATCAACAACGAGACGTGGTCCCGCATCGCCTTCACCGAGCACGAGCGGCGCCGGCACACACCCGGCGAGCGCGGGCTGGGGGGCCCCGCGCCACCGGAGCCGGACAGCGGCCCCCAGCGCTGCGGCATCCGCACCTCAGACATCATCATCTTGCCCCACATCGTTCTCAACCGCCGCACATCGGGCATCATCGAGATCGAGATCAAACCGCTGCGCAAGATGGAGAAGAGCAAGTCCTATTACCTGTGCACGTCGCTCTCCACGCCAGCCCTGGGAGCCGGCGGCCCGGGGTCCGCGAGTGGCACCGTCGGGGGCAAGGGCGGCGCGGGGATGGCCGGGCTCCCGCCTCCTCCGTGGGCCGAGACCACCTGGATTTACCACGACGGCGAGGACACCAAGATGATCGTGGGCGAGGAGAAGAAGTTCCTGCTGCCCTTCTGGCTGCAGGTGATCTTCATTTCACTGCTTCTGTGCCTGTCGGGCATGTTCAGCGGCCTCAACCTGGGGCTCATGGCTCTGGACCCGATGGAGCTGCGCATCGTGCAGAACTGCGGCACGGAGAAGGAGAAGAATTATGCCAAGCGCATCGAGCCCGTGCGCAGGCAGGGCAACTACCTGCTGTGCTCGCTGCTGCTGGGCAACGTGCTGGTCAACACCACGCTCACCATCCTGCTCGACGACATCGCTGGCTCAGGCCTCGTGGCCGTGGTGGTCTCCACCATCGGCATTGTCATCTTCGGGGAGATTGTGCCCCAGGCCATCTGCTCCCGGCACGGCCTGGCTGTAGGGGCCAACACCATCTTTCTCACCAAGTTTTTCATGATGATGACCTTCCCCGCTTCTTACCCGGTCAGCAAGCTGCTGGACTGCGTCCTGGGCCAGGAGATTGGCACCGTATATAACCGGGAAAAACTGCTAGAGATGCTCCGGGTCACTGACCCCTACAATGACCTCGTCAAGGAGGAGCTGAACATCATCCAAGGAGCGCTGGAGCTCCGCACCAAGACGGTAGAGGACGTGATGACTCCCCTCCGGGACTGCTTCATGATCACCGGCGAGGCCATTCTGGACTTCAACACCATGTCGGAGATCATGGAGAGCGGCTACACTCGCATCCCAGTATTTGAGGGAGAGCGCTCCAACATCGTGGACCTGCTCTTTGTCAAAGACTTGGCCTTCGTAGATCCAGATGACTGTACTCCCTTGAAAACCATCACCAAATTTTATAACCATCCCTTGCACTTTGTTTTCAATGACACCAAGTTGGACGCTATGCTGGAAGAATTTAAGAAAGGTGGGAAATTTTGATATCTTTCATTGGCTTGCTCTTTCTCTTTCCATCCTCCTCCTCCTCCCTGCTTGCATCCTCTACCCTCAGACCAACCCCCCAAGGCGAGTTGACCGGATTTTCTCCTTCTCTCTCTTAATTGCAAAGATGAAAGGGTGGCATGGATTTGGGGACGGATTGAACTAGTAAGCAAGCACTTCTAGGTTCTTTAAAGAGCAAGACTGTCATCACTTATTTTTCCCTCATTATAAAAAAGCAGGTGTTGTAATTTCTATGCATGATTAGCCCTCCCCGCCCCCGCCCCCCGCAGCGTGGTGCTGGGGGCTGTGGTTTTGAGGGGTCTGCTTCATTCATTGTCTGGGCAGATGAGAGTAGGGTCTGGCGAATGCCAAACCTCTGATCACAGGCATTTGGAACACATTTAAATAGCTTTTCTAAACCCAGTGTAATCCTTTTCCTCCTTCCTAAACATACACACTGGCATTTCAAAGACTGGAAGTACTTTTTTTTTTACAGTTTATGTCCCTAGTTGTTTGCCGACCTGTGGGGATGGTCGGCCTTTGAGGGTGGAGCATGGGGTAAGTCAAGTAACACCAAAAAAACAAAAAACAACAACCACACACACACAAAGAAAAAACCAGAATAAAACACCTCACTTATTTTGGATGTTAACTTGCCTTACTTAGCTAGAAAAAAGGGTTTTTTAAAAGTCAGAATTAGTTATTAGTGCATACCTTGGAAAGACTAGAGGTAAGTTAACCTTTTCTGAGGCTCTATCTCTCTAGCTTTCTTCACTGTGTACATCTACCTGACAATAAGTAACATTTCCTGAAGCAAGTATGGCTTTGGCAGAAAGCTTGAGCCTTTGACAATGGGATGAATTCCCCTATTAATCATGGTTTATTCATGTCTTAACTCTTTCCAGTTTAAAAGTGTTCTTTTTTTAGCCTTGACTCCCTGATCCATTTAAGTGATATCTCCAAGTCACCTCTCCTGGTTCCAGGGTGTTTAACAAGGAAGAGGAAGAAGCAGAGTCTGCTGTTCACCCACACATCAGTTCTTGTATTGTGGTGTTGCTTGTTTTCCCATGTCATGAACAGATAAATAGCAACTGTAATTACTGAAATTCTGAAACTTTCCAGTAAATAGCTAGTGTTATTTGAAAGCCAAGGGATGCTGAATTTTGTTATGGCTGTGATGCTAGCACATGGGCCAGAATTGAAATGTGTATGTATAACCTTTCATGACCTGATAGTCCTCCAAAACTAAGCTTTTCTTCTTCACATACAATTTTGATTACTAATAGTGGTTTCTCCTTACAAAAGGCCATGTGTACCTGGTGACAGCTCACGGATGGGATTGTCTGAACATATGGAGTGTATGTTTGTCCTCATTCTGTTTTCCTGGCTGAATGATGTCTTCAGTAGAACAGGATTACAATGCAGTAATTTTCATATAAAAAAATAGAGCAGAATGTGCTTCAGCGCTTGGTAATTTGCATTTAAAAGCAGGAGATTCATTTGGATGCTTAAACAAGAAAAAGAAAGTGCCCAGTATCTGTAGTGACAGCTCTTCTTTTGGAAGTGTCATTATTCTCTCACCTCTAAGTTGTTAATTAGAGCATCTCACCAGTGTCTCCATCATGCTGCAGTGAGATCTGTCAAACAGTAAGATGCCTGTCAAACAGGAGGTGCTGGAAGATGCCTCTGAAATTCTTTCTATTGCTACATTTCCCAATACCAATACAGATCATTTACTGTGTGATTTTTTTTTCATTCAGATTTTTTGCACATCAATTTATGGGTTACTAATGCTAGTTTGAGCCAGGCACGGTGGCATGTGTCTATAGTCCCAGCTACTTGGGAGGCTGAGGCAGGAGGATTCTTTGAGCACAGAAGACCATCCTGGACAACATAGCAATACCTGTCTCAAAACAAAAAATACTAGTTTGTATTTACGGCTAGAATCTTTTCTTCACTTCTGTATCTTTTTTCCTTTGAGAGTTTAGTTATTCACTTTAGAACTCATTAATCCCGCCCCTTTTCAAAGTTTAAAAATATGCATTATTTTGAAATTTGTTTTTGGTTGTCCATGAACAAATTTCTTATGATGAGTTTATGTTTTTGGTGGTACTGGGGTTTGAACCCAGGGCCTCACAGTTGCTAGGCAGGCGGCCTACCACTTGAGCCACTCTGCTAGCACTCTCCTACTTTATTCTTATGAACAGCTGTTTTCCTCCAAAATCACTTCTCATGATATCTTGTGAAACATATTCTTTGGATGATTGAATTACTGATGCTTTTCAATGAATTCTAGAAAAAATAATGCCATAAGCCTTAATTTTTGTCCTCATCCAAAATGTTACACAGTATTTTGTTAAGATAATACAAGCCAGGTACACTCAGTCTAGTGGTGTATTCTGAAGAGTGGACAAAAAGAGTTGTAAATTGGAAATTTAAGCTATGTTTGTAAAAGAATGAAGTGGGTGTTTGTTACTTAAACTCAAGGAATAATTGCTTTCTCACTTTCCCATTCTAGATCTTTTTTTGATGAATTTGGTTGCTTTAATCTTGCTATCAGTTATGTTAGATATTTATTTTTTCTTTTACAAAAGAAATTATTAAACCTTGTCTGAACTCCTGAAAATAAGAAACACAGAATTTGAAACAATGACATTTATATTTTGACAGCAAATTAAAAACTGTTTTGGATTGAGTATGCCAGTAATCTTTGGCATAATACATTTCACATACTGTAAATGATACTATATTTGGTGTAGTAATACAATTAGATAAAGATGTAATTAAATTTACTACTTTTTTTTTTTTATGGTAGGACTGAGGTTTACACTTGCAAGCAAAGCAAGTTTTACACTTGCAAAGCAGGTGCTCTGCCGCTTGAGCCACACCTCTAGTCTGTTTTGCTTTTTTTTTTCTTTTTCACTTGAGCCAGTCCACTAGCCCTTTTTTGGATATTCTTGAGATACAGTCTTGCAAACTGTCCTGGCTGGCTTCAAACCATGATCCTCCTGTTTTCTGCCTTCTGAGTAGCTATGATTATAGAAGTGAGCCACCATTGCCTGGCTGGTCTGGTTATTTTGGAGATGGAGTCTCTTGAACTGTTTGCTCTGGCTGCCCTCAAACCATGATCCTCTAGATCTCAGCCTCCCAAGTAGCTAGGATTATAGGCATGAGACACTGGTGCCCAGGAGCACATTTTTGTTTGTTTTTGTTTTTTGAGACAGTGTCTCACTCAGTATGTTGTCAAGGCTATTGGTACTTTTTATGTGTAAGTTAAAATATTTTCTTCTTCTTCCTTTTCTAATTATGTCATAATTTTAAGTTACCCTTCTATTGTTCTTCTGTGTTGAATAACAGTGTGTGGTGTGGGCTGAAGACTGTTCCAGTGGTGACAAGGAACAGTCACCACTATTCCTTGTCACTATTCTGTACTAGGTGCAGGGCTGAGTGTTTCACATAATGTTTAAATCTCACAATGACTGAATGAAGCATTGTCCTCATTTTACAAATGAGGAACTTGAGACTTAGGTTGAATGATTTGTTCAAGGTCACATAGTCATTTGTTGACTTGGGGTTTTAACTCATGTCTATGTGACACCAGAACTTGCTGTCTTCATTTTTTATTTTTGTGTTTATCACAGTGCTAGGTGTTGAACCCAGGGCCTCACTCATCGCAACCATTCGACTTTATTAGTCGATTTGATCCTGATGTCACTTTCTTAGTTTGCTTGGTCCTTTGGCAAAACATTGCCTCAGAGCTTAATGGGGAATAGACAGGTAATGCATTTATATGTAAATGCTTAGTGATGACGTACATAACAGTTGGTGCCCCCATTTTTGCCATGGAGACAAATCAAGGTTTGGGCCTGTGTAATTCTAATTGCAAAAGAATCGTGGTTACAACATTAGCACACCAAGCATGGAGATGCATTTCGAAAATGTTACAGTTACATTGGATGCCCCTAGTGTGCTACTTTAATGTTCTGCTCTACAACTGGTTTTCCAGTAGCTAAGTTATGTGATGTTTCACTCTGTTTCTTATCTGTTGTGAGGGTCACCCCATAGTTTGTCAGACTCAGTTTTCTGATTCAGTCTTGATTTTGTAAAAATTATATTACCATATAATAATTAGTTGCTAATTGAGCATCCTTTGCAACTCTGCCTAAGCACTATGTAGTTAATCTTTGTCTTGCCAGGTTTCCAGTTACTTACGAGAACTTTAGAAAAGTATCTAAAGCAAAATAACCTAGGAGAAAGGAAAACTAAAGGCTGCTTCCTGCGTGTCCTTTTACCTGACATCACCTTCACAAAAGCCTGTAGACCCTTTAGCCACCCGGTTGTCTAAGCTGAGGTGACTCTGAAGAATTAGTAACCAGTCTAATTGTTTCATTGTTTTCCTTTTAGCTTTGTAACAGTTGCATTTACAGTATAGCAGGGTACAGGGTTTACAGCAGCTGAAGACTTAGCCTGTTTTTTTTCTGGCTGTTTCTTAGCTAGGAACAGGTGTGATCACCAGGTAATGTTCTGCAAAGCAAGAATGCAATGTGTAATTTCCACTGAAGACATTAGGTACACAGCTCTCTCTCTCTGTAACTCAGTAAGTCTCTCCGTATTAATCTATCAACAGTTGAATATGAAAGTCTTTTTTTTTTTTCTCACAAATTAAGTGTTCCATTTGCCTAGAATCTAGGAGGATTTGTGTGTGATTGTGTTTGAGGGTATGAAGGTGTCAGGAAGTAGATCTGTTTATTTTATAATCTAGTATTTTTTTGTGTGTAAGCAACATGATAAATTATTAAAATTTTGTGTTTTCTAAAACATCATTTTGAGATATCCAGATGGTATAGAGTTAGAACTGGGATCAGGCAGCTTGAAGATTTTGTAGCGTAATGTTTGCCAGTGTTTTTACCAGAGGATAAGTTTAGTTGGGTCACTTATCATGAGTAAGGTTCTAGGCCTCTCAGAGACCTTATGAAGGCCCTGGGGAAGGGGCAGCTATCGACATTGTTAACAGTTACCCTGAGGTCATCTTATGGTTAGATGAGGGAAACATGGTCCCTCAATCCCTAATGTGAGGAAAGGAAGCCCTGCCTGAGACTTGCTTAGGGCCACCTACCTGCATAGTGGTAGCATTGACTGCACTAGAAGCCATGTCCCCAACTTGTAGACTGGAGTTCTTTCCACTCCAAAAGTCTGGACTCTAGTCCCAAATCATTCAGAGTTGAAGGTTATCTACATCATCAGGAAAAAAAATATCAGGTTTGCCATTGATTTTTATTTGTCTTGTGATTTTGATGTCACTATTTTATGTGTCTTCCATTCAATCGATCATTACAGACATTTTGTTACATAGGAAATAACCGTGATGGTGCAAATCCACTTTATGTTATGTTTTAGATTAACTTAGTTATTAACTGAGTCTTTTACTTCCTGTGGTCATAGTAGGAGGGCACTTTAGTAAGTAGGTATTGTTATCTACATTGCTCAAAGCCTCAGGTAGTCTCATATAAAGTTTTTTTTTTTTTTTGAGTTAGCTTGTTTTGGATATTCCTTAAGAATCTGTTTTCTTTTCTTTCCCTTTTTTTTTTTTTTTTTTGGTGGCACTGGGCTTAGGGCTTCATGTTTGCTAGGTGCTCCTATCTCTTGAGCCATACCTCCAGCCCTCTTTTTGTGATGGGTTTTCTTCTAGCTAGGTTATTGAGAACTATTTGCCTAGGGCTTGCTTTGAACAGATCCTCCTGATCTCTGCCTCCTAAGTAGCTAGGATTACAAGCGTGAGCCAGACTTATGATCTGTTTTCTTGTTGGTTGTTTCTTCCATGTGAGTAATGAAGATTGGGTTTGAGACTGTGGAAATGATGGTTCCTTGGCTTTTTGCATGTATGTTCACAATGCAGGTCTGTGAAATTTCCATGGAGATGTTCACCAGGGCTGGGGCATAGTACAGTGGGGGAGCACTTGCCTTGCCTATATGAGGCCCTATTCACCATGCATGTGAAGCCCATGTCCCATGCATGCCATCTATGTACATGTCTCCCAGTTGTTACCATACAAGCTCACGTCTTGAGTTTTGGAAGTTACTGTGTAAATAGTGACTCTGAGCCTGCACATAGAGCTGTAGGTCAGGAGAGACCAGATCTGAATGAAGCACGAAAGGACCTTGCATGGCTTTTTCTGTCTGCTTTTATGGGGGTTACATACTACTTGCTTCTCTTCCTGAAGGGCCTCAGAATTATTTAAATTCTGAAACATTCCAAACTCTTGGAGGGGGCAATTAATTTTAATGACTAGAAAATCTCAACACAATAATAATAATAATAATAATAATAATAATAATAATGAAAGCAATAACCAGGAAACCCCACTACAAAATAATGTGACCCAATATCATATTTTATGGTTTTATTTGCTCTGAATGACTGATTAGATGTTTACTAGAGTTATGTATAAAGTGTTATCAAAGGGGCCCTTTCCTCCAGATGTATAGTTTGCTAGCAATAATATGTAATATGTAATTGCTAGTAAACTTCAATTCCAACAAGATTTACTTGGTATATAAAGAGTATTTATTAGGACTGCGTATGGTGCTGCATGTCTCTAATCCTACCTAGAGAGGTGAGAGATTGGAGGATTGCAGTACAAGGTCAGCTCAGGCAAAAATTAGGGAGACCGTATCTCACAAACAAGCTGGGTGTAGTGGTCCATTCCTGTGGTCCCACTTTCTTGGAAGGTGGAGATAGGAATATTGAAGTTTGAGGCCAGTCTGGGCAAAGTTAGCATGAGACCCTATTTGAAAAGCAAACTAAAAGTGAAAAGGGCTGGGGCATGGCTCTAGTGGTACAGCACTTACTTGGGAGGCCCCAAGAGTTCAATCCCTTTCAGAAAAGTAAAAAAAAAAAAAAAAAAAAAAAAAAAAAAAGAAAAGAATATTATTTAAACTTAAATGCATAGAAATGGATCACTAGAAATGAATACAATTTGCTTATTTTTTGTCTATTTGGCTTTGTTTTTGCTTTTTTGAGACAGGGTCTGGGCTGTGTAGCTCAGGCTGCCCTCCTCAGTTCTGGAATTAATAGACATGCACTCCATGCCCAGATGAATACAATTTATTTTTGCATTGTATTTTCATCTTCCTTTTCTCAGAATACACAAACAAGAAATGCCAAATCCTACCAGCACTGAAAAGGAGAGCCAATAAGAAAGTCTGTCTTTTGCCAGGTGCTGGTGGCTCACACCTATAAGCCTCGCTACTCAGGAGGCAGAGAACATCACAGATTGAAGCTAGCCCAGGCAAATAGTTTGTGAGACCCTCTCTTGAAAATAACCAACACAAAAAAGTGCTGGGCAGAGTAGCTCACTTGGCAGAGTGCCTGCCTAGCAAGCGGGAGGCCCTGAGTTCAAACTCCAATACCACCAAAAAAAAAAAAAAATTCTGTCTTTTGATATTGCACGTATCAACCCTTCCCCTGTTTTGTGTTAGTGCTACAGTTGATCATAGAAAGTGCTCTAAGGATGCTGAGAAGTTCACCTCTTCAAATTAGCCCCCTTGCTGTCAAACCTGGGCAGGAATGTTTTGAATTTGCATGCTGTGGGTTGGATACAACTTGCTAATGCAAATGTTAAGAACAATGTACTCTTCCTGGATCTGCTTTGGATAAGTAACTTACCTCTTTGAGCCTCATGGCTTTTTTCATAGAAATGTGGGGCTATTTTCTAATTCGTACAGTATGTAGTAATAATTAATGTGAGCTATGGGTAGTGGTACACAGTGGTAATCCTAGCAGCACTTGGGAGGCTGAGGTTGGGAGGATGGTGAATTTGAGGTCAGGTCAGCCTGCGCTACATAGGGAGACCCTGTCTCAAAAAAAAAAAAAATGTAATAAATGTAAAAATGCTTCCACTATTTTTATTATAACATTTTTTCTGTAGGTTCTTGGTTGTTTTAACCTATTCATTTTGCTATAACAAAATAGTATTAACTGCATAATTTGCAAATAATGGAAATTTATTTCTCACAGTTCTGGAGGCTGGGAAGTTGAAGAAGTTCGAGATCAAGACATTTGGTGTCTGGTGAGGGTTTTCTACCCTTTACGGTGGAAGAGTGAAAGGGCAGAAAAGGACCTAGACTGGTTCCCTCCAGCTCTGTGATAAAGGGTGCACTCATGACACAGTCACTACTCCAAAGGCTGCAGGTCTTAGCACCCCACAGTGGGGATTACTGTCAACATGAGAATGGGATACACATTCAAACCATGGCACTTGTTCTTAGTCTAGACTATCCAAGAGAGACACCTGGGCACGTACTTATCATTGTTTTAGATGTTGAAATCTTAGAAGTGGCTAATTATTGTGTTTTTTTTCTTTCTTTTTTTGTTGTGATCAAATTCTGTGCTGTGTTATTTTTTTGAGCAGTTGTTACTTGACAAGATGGCTACATATATATGTATTTTTAAGGAAAACAATAATTTATTACATGTTCTAACTTTCTTAGATTAAAAATACTGAGTTTAAAATAATTCTTCATTTTTTTTTAACTATAGGTGACTGAAAAAAGACAACAAAGGTTAAAAGGCCTAAAGTAAGTGCTCGTGGATTTTGAAAGCCTTGAAATAACCTAAGTTTTAAGACAAAAAAGATAGCAGATTACTCTGATAAAATTTTTTGTCATTGAGTACATCAGAAGTATAATAATGGTGATGTATAATACAGCAAGTCTGTGTTGCTATGACTGTATAAATTTCTTGTACCTTTGGGAGGTAACTAGGCATCATAAAAATGTCCTGCATTTTGGTTTAGTGATTTTTTTCCCTGCAAATCTTTATGCTGTGATTCAAAGGAAGAAAAGAGCTATGTTGGCTTTTATATTGCGTACATATTGCAACATTGTCTATATAAATGGTGAAAGAACACCTCAAGACAGGGCATAAAGGGGAAAAAGTTAACGAAATTATAGATGGCAACTAATTGTAAGTATTTAATGATAATTTTGAAGAGCATGTAGCAATTTGGGAATATTTACACTGATTATTTGTAAGGATTAGAGACATGTAAAAATATACATGTGTTAGACTAAAAGAGAACATAAAAAAGTGAAAATAGTTTAAAATAGGATGGTTAGGTGGGGTTAGGGTGCAAAAATCTACTTGTTAACTTTGTGCGGTGATATACCTGGAAAAAGCTCAGATCTGCTAAGAACATTACGTGTCCTAATCTTGGGAAAACTACCCTTTGCTCATGTTAAGGAGCTCATATTATTTTGTTTCTCTTTAGGAACATTTTACTGTTGAAACAAATTGTTCTTTAAAACATTTTTAAAATTGCAATGTTCACCTCTCTGACTTGTATGATTCAGTGGTTTTTAGTACATTTACAAGGTTGTACAACCATTACTACTGTCTCCTTTCAGACCATTTCCATCAACCCTTCCCCAAAGAAACCCCATCCCTGGAATCAGTCACTCCCCCAATTCCCTGCTCCTCATGGTCTTTGGTAATAACTAAGCTGCTCTTTGTCTCTATGGATTAACTGATCCTGGACGCAGTTACTGTATTAGTAACTTTATGCAAAAATGCCAAATTGTTTTCCAAAGTGGCTGCACCATTTTACATTCCTATCAACAATGTATGAGGGTTCCAATTTCTCCACATTGGCACCAACACTTGTTATTGCCTTAATTTTTAGAATTTTTTAAGCTATAGTCATCCTAATGAGTGTGAGGTGGTATTTCCTGTGGTTTTGATTTGCATTTCCCTAGTGGTTAAAGATGTCCAACGTCTCTTCATGCCTTTATTGGGCATTACCTTGGAGAAGTGTCTATGTTCTTCCTTTGATCATTTAAAAATTGGGTTGTTTTTTTACTTTGAATTGTAAGAGTTTTTTTTCTATTCTAGATACTAGTCAGTTATCAGATATATGACTTGCAGATATTCTCCCATTCTGTGAGTGGTCTTTTTACTTTCTTGGTGGTGACCTTTGAACTGGGAAGATTTTTAATTTTGATGAAGTCTGATTTGCCTGTTTTTCTTAAGTTTAAGCTTTTGGTGTCGTGTCTAAAACACCATAGTAAAGATTTTTATACTTGTTTTCTTCTAGGAGTTTTAGTTCTTACATTTAGATCTTTATCCATTTTGAGTTAGTTTTTGTATACGTGGGAGGTAAGGGGTTTAAATTTAGCCTTTTGGATGTGGATATCCAATTGTCCCAGTACATTTGTTGAAAAGACCATTCTTTTCTATTGAATTGCCTTGACAGCCTTGTCAGAAATCATTTGTTTGTGAATGTGAGGGCTTATTTCTGAATCTTAAATTCTTCCCCTGATATTTGTATGTGAATACCACACTGTTTTGATTCATGTAGCTTTAAAATTGGGAAGTATGAACGTTCTGACTTTGTTCTTTTCAAGATTGTTTTGGCTGTCAGGATACCTTGTAATTAAACATGAAATTTTTATGGATCAGTTTGTCCATTTGTACAAAAGAAAAGGCAGTTGGAATTTTGATAGGGGTTGTATTGAATCTGTAGATTAGTTGGGGGAGTATTACAATCTTAATAATATTACGCCTCTCATCCAGAACAGGGGAAGCCTTCCCATTTATTTAGGTCATCTTATTTCTTATTTTTCTGGTTTTTCTTGGCAATACTGGGGCTTGAACTCAGGGCCTCGTGCTTGTTTTGCAGGTACTCTACCACTTGAGCCACTCCACAGCTACTTAGATCTTCTTTAATTTCCTTCAACAGTGATTTTTAGTTTTCAGTCTACTTGCAATCCTTTTGTTCAGTTTATTCTTAAGTGTTTTATTTGTTTTGTTTGACTTTTTTTTTTTGTAGTAAATGGAGTTTATCAATTACATTTTATTTATCCAAATTATTTTATTAATCTCATTTTCAGTTTGTTCATTCATAGTATGTACATGTGTAAGTGCATTTTGTACACTAATCTTATTCTACAACCTGTTGAACTTGTTATTAGATAACAAATAGTTCTTAAAACAGAAAAATGCTCTTTTTTTGTAAACATATGAACATATTGGGGTTATCTTACATTTATTTGTTTCATTTGTTGTAGCGGATTTTATTTTTTCTTTAAAAATTTGAGGCATTGTTACTGGTCAAGTGGCTCAAGTGGTAAGAGCACCTGCCTAGCAAGCATGAGGCCAAGTTAAAAAAAAAACAAAAAAAACCAAAAACTTTTTCTGGGTGCCAGTGTTTCACGCCTGTAATCCTAGCTACTGAGGAGGCAGAGATCAGGAGGATTGTGGTTCAAAGGCAGTCCCAGGCAAATAGTTTTCGAGACCCTATCTCGAAAATATCCAACACAACACAAGGCTGGCAGGGTGGCTCAATAGGTAGAGTGCCTACCTAGCAAGCATGAGGCCCTGAGTTCAAACCCCAGAACTGCCAAAAAAGAAAAAAAATTGAGGCATTTTTACTAGCCACTTCATATTCAGGGAGTGGAGCACCCACAATTAGTGATTGTCAGTGTCATTTTTAAGAAATTTGATATTAAAAAAAAAGAGTATGAAATGTGTTAGTTATGACAAAAAATAAGGCTCATTGGAGCTTGGGAATTCTATCTAATATTTAGAGTGCCTTTGTGTTTGGGAGGAGTATGGAAAACACTGTTAGGCTAATAGCTAAATGGTTTTGCAGGACCTTTCTTCTGCAGACCATTTTATCAAGGGTTTTCTTTGCAGGGACAAAGAAAAAAAAAAAAAACTCTGATTTTCACCACTGTGCATTTTATACTGGCGTCATCAGGAGGATTCTTGAGGTTTTGGGGTTCCAGGTAACCAGAAGAGATAAAATGAAACTCTGCTCTTTTTTATTTTTTGTGCTGTGGGTGTGGGGGTCTGGTAATCTGAGAGGATGGATTTTTTTCCCCTGCTAGCAGAGACAGTGAGACATCAATCTGATCGTTATGGGAGCGTGCAAAACCTCAATTTTTCCATTTGCCCGTCTGCAATCATAAAAGCCAATGTGCTGACTCAACTTGGAGCCTCAGCAGAGTGGCGTTTGGGGTTTAGTCCCGAGAATCATGCAAGAAAGGGAGATGTTTGAGCAGGTTTTAAAAGGTGACATTGAAAACAGCTAGAACATACCTTGGAAGGAAAGACATCTCTGTTATCTCTTTCAAGGCTGGTCTCCTTTAGTCACTGGTGTACCTCCTTGATTTATAGTTTGTTAGGAATAAACTCTCTACTGTGGAGTTGATTACACTGAATTTCATCCTCCCATCATCAGTATCATCCTTGAGGGTTTGGGGTTCTAGGAAACCAGAAGACACTCAGTGAAGCCTTTGCTCTTTGTGTTGTGAAAGAAAGAATTTTAGGTTTTTGGGTTGCATTTGTTTTCAAAACATGTTATCAGATGAAAAAAAGCCAGTTTGCTTAGATTTGTATGTAACCTACCTGGAATGCAACTTCTTTTTTTTTCGGTACTGGGGTTTGAACTCAGGACTTCATGCTTGCTAGGCAGGCGTGCTTTTGCTTGAGCCACTTCACCAGACCTGTTTTGTATTGAATATTATTTAGCTTTTTTTTGGTGTATGTGTGTACTGGAGTTTGAACTCAGGGCCTCATGTTTACTAGGCAGTGTATTGAGTATTATTGAGATAGGGTCTCATGAACTGTTTGCCTGGGCTGGCCTCAAACCACGATCCTCCTGATTTCAGCTTCTTGATAGCTAGGATTACAGTATGCCAGCTGGAATACAACTTTTTGATACTGACATGATAACCCTGATTAAATAAAAGATAGGTGAAGTTGTTCAGCTCCAATTAGATTTGTATTTTTAGCATAAAACTGTGACCCTAAGATACCTCTCATTTAGGGACACTAAGATTCTGGAAACCAGTGTTTCCTTTTATCTGTGGAAATCATCACAGGATTTACAATGATGATTATAAAAAGGAGACAATATAGGAATATTCTGGAGCCACCCATGCTTGAAGCTTACTTAGTAGTTTCTAGACTATCTTATACATTTATCTACAATAAAAAAAACCAAACCTTTTAACTTTGATAAGGACCAGGAATTTGTTTAGTTCTATAAAATTATGCATATTCTCAGGCAGATAAAAAGATGTGATTTTTCTTTTTCTGTTGCATACAGAAACTTTCAGATTAGCTGTTGTCATGCTACCGCTCTTCTCTCTGCCTGGCTCTACTGCATAACTTTTTGATTAATGATGGACCTCATGTAGAGGGAGTTCCATCAGATTATAACAAAGCTGAACAATTCCTCTTGCCTTGTGAGGTTGCAGTGTCAGAGTGTAATGCATTTCTTATTTGCTTGTGGTGATGCAGGTGTAGACAGACCTGTGCTGCCAGTCCAAAAAAGCACAGCACAGACAGTTATGTACAGTATGTAGTATCTGGTAATGGAACAAATGACTGGGTTTCTGGCTTATGTATTTATTGTACTATACTTTTTAGTCATTATTTTACAGCATACTTCTATTTACTGCCATGTTCTGCCTGCAGCAGCCTCACACATCTTGCATCTCTTGATTGCATTATTTTTCCGTGTTTGATTTAATCTTGTGTTTTGTTCATCATGACCCTCAAGCAATAGAGTATACCCTATACATGGTATATAAGCATATACCATATATATGTATTTGTGCATATATGATATAATAGGTATCCATATATCTTTGCCACACATGTATACCTTGTATGCTAGATGTGCAGCAGGTTCTGCCATTCAGGTTTATGTAAGTACACGTTATGATGTGTGCACAATGATGGAATTGCCTAATGACACAGTTCTTAGAATATACCCCCATCATAGGATGAGTCAGCTGTCACTTTGATCTGTTTTAAAATGACGTTGGATAATGACAGCAAATGTTGCCTATACTCCTTTAGACACCTTCCTAAGAACGGTAAGCATTTTAGGAAGAGAAATTGATGTTTGCTTTCCTGACAAACAGCATCGCTCTTAAATAGTCC